ACATACAGTGCTGTTAGTCACACTCTAGCTTTCATGAATCACTTCTAAACACGTACTTATTACGTAATCTCACTTTTTATTTATTGTCCTACTGGCCTTGGAACCTACAACTTGAAACTTTTTGGTGCAGATATTTATACAAGTTGAAACTTTTTGGTGCAGATATTTATACAAGTTGAAACTTTTTAGTGCAGATATTTATACAAGTTGAAACTTTTTAGTGCAGATATTTATACAAGTTGAAACTTTTTAGTGCAGATATTTATACAAGTTGAAACTTTTTGGTGCAGATATTTATACAAGTTGAAACTTTTTAGTGCAGATATTTATATAAGTTGAAACTTGTTAGTGCAGATACTTATACAAGTTGAAACTTTTTAGTGCAGATATTTATACAAGTTGAAACTTGTTAGTGCAGATATTTCTACGATAAATGCAAATTATTAGTCAGTATTTCTTATGGACTTCGAAGCCAGGGTATTTAACGTAACTAAAGTAAACTAAACAACTCCAGAACTGTTATTATCCACTCTCAGGATATCACCACACTTAAATAACAAGAAAGTGTGAAGAAAGTAAGGACTGAAGACGGGTGAATGTTATTATTCACTCTCAGGATATTACCACACTTAAATAACAAGAAAGTGTGAAGAAAGTAAGGACTGAAGACGGGTGAATGTTATTATTCACTCTCAGGATATTACCACACTTAAATAACAAGAAAGTGTGAAGAAAGTAAGGACTGACGATGGGTGAATGTTATTATTCACTCTCAGGATATTACCACACTTAAATAACAAGAAAGTGTGAAGAAAGTAAGGACTGAGGACTGGTGAAAGTTATTATTCACTCTCAGGATATCACCAACCCTCTTTAACTGAAATAGTGTGTTCTCAGTACATAGTTATGGAATGTAGGACAGTTTGTGTTTCTCTTTAAATGATAACTTGAGAAGATTATAGAATTTTCCTACCATATTATCGACAAATACTGTCGCTGATTCACGAGGCTAAAATTTAATAAAGTAACATGTTTAACCACTCGTTACCCTCGTGATGACATCAGTGATGTCCTTGAAGCATCAGTAGTACTTCACTCCTTGGAACTGTCTAGGAAACAATTTGTGTAATGTTGCCTTCAACCCCACGTTAACATTAAGATGGTGTACAAACCAAGGAAGAATTGTTCGTGTTCACAGTCTACTTACTACCGGCGATCGAGTTTTGATATATTCGTTTCTGCTTCATTTTTTTTGGAACCGTATAAATTTCTTACCACATACAACACCGTTTGATTACTAATAATATACTTGTTCATTATACACATGATAAATTTGATCAGGTATTGAAATCTTCCACCAATACAACGCAGTTTTGACTGGCTTTGTTTGTTTGTTTGTTTTTGAATTTCGCGCAAAGCTACACGAGGGCTATCTGCGCTAGCCGTCCCTAATTTAGCAGTGTAAGACTAGAGGGAAGGCAGCTAGTCATCACCACCCACCGCCAACTCTTGGGCTACTCTTTTACCAACGAATAGTGGGATTGACCGTCACATTATAACGCCCCCACTGCTGAAAGGGCGAGCATGTTTTGTGTGACGGGGATTCGAACCCGCGACCCTCAGATTGCGCGTCGAGTGCCTTAACCACCTGGCCATGACGGGCCTTGACTGGCTTTAATTCGGTATTTTGGTATTTCCAATCTGAATGATACCTTATGTGACACGTGGTGCTACTGATCCGCCACCTACACTGTTACTGCTAATCGATTAAATTATTTTACCTTGCTTTTTGGCCCCATACGTGCGGATAGTGTTTTTACGGTAACGGGGCACCACAAACCCTCAGATTCACAGTTCAAATACGTTTTTGATTTTCACGTCATGCTCATTTGGAACATTTAATTAAGAAATACTTATAAACTCAAACTTATATACACAGCAGCAATAACTACCGAGTGTTTGTTGTCTCAATAGTTATTGAAATTTTACGGACGGTCGCAAAATGAAATACAGATATAAAAAACTTCACCAACTACATCGCGTGCTTTCGGAAGGCGGTTTTACACGGACTATGGATTAACCAGGAATTTCTTTCTGTTCATTTCTGTTAAAAGACGATATATTAACACAAAGATCTCAGGTTACAGGGTATTTACTACACTATACTGGAATGTAAAACATGAGTTACTCAGCAGGTGTTTGGCATAAGTACACTGGCTCCACCTAGTGTTCAGGATTATTGCGTATGTTTTACCCTATTCTGGTCTATAAAACATGAACATATGTTTACTTCACGTACAGTGGCTCCATCTAGTGTTCAATATTATTGCGTATTCCCTAAACTATACTATACTGTAAAATACGAGTTACTCAGCTGTAATGCAACTTCACCTGAAACAACTAACTATAGAGCTACAACGCGTTCATTAAATCTGAAAATTTTACAAAGTGGTACGAGTTAGTTAACTGTAAAAAACGTAATTAAATAATTTTTGGTTACTTACAGGTTAAAGCCGAGTTACATAAATTTACTGACTGCTTATTCAGTAAAAGTTTTAACCAAAAATGTTTTAAGTAGTTATCTGTTACCGTAATTTCACGACATGAATTAATTATGATTTATAAATAAAATCAACATACCTACTGTAGTTATAAAGATAACAAAACGTAACACTAAAAATTAGACGATAAGGTACAATAGAAATATCGCAACATAAATAAATATGTGAGATTTTATATATTTATGTTGTCGACAAGTACTTTGTGCCAACTCTTTTTTTTAACTTGAGAAACATGAGAATATACATTAACTTCTAACAGAACAGCATAAGGAAAATTCCATGTTTATATATGTACAAACGTATGGAAATATTGGCTCTAAATAACCATGCCCACAAAAATTCTTACCTTGCAAAAAATTAAAAGAATGCTTAGTTATATCTCTTACATTTGATAAAAACAGTGATTATAAAAAAACAGAAAAATAATTACAAAAATCTTAATAATGATTCTTAACTTTGATAAAAATAATTACTAGAATCTTTAATGATGACTCTTAACTTTGATAAAATAATTACTAGAATCTTTAAAGATGATTCTTAACTTTGATAAAGATAATTACTAGAATCTTTAATGATGACTCTTAACTTTGATAAAATAATTACTAGAATCTTTAAAGATGATTCTTAACTTTGATAAAAATAATTACAAGAATCTTTAATGATGATTCTTAACTTTGATAAAAATAATTACTAGAATCTTTAATA